TTTTTTTTTTTTTTTTTGAACATTAAGAAATTAGAGAAGAGGGATTACATCATAAAAATTTGAACCATGGTGCTATTCATAGTTAAAATGCACCCTAACATTGCAGCCATTGCTATGGGTGGGGGGAAGATAGTGCTTGTGTCCAACCTTTTTCCTTAAGTAGTTTCACCATTATTTATACTTAAATTTTTTTTTTTTGCAATTAATACTTTTTAATATTTCTTTTAATCAATACCCACAATAATTTATAATCTGTGATACACCAAAAGCACACTTACGAATTCATCAGGTGGGCAATTACCTGGACGTGGCCATTAGGTGCACAATCTATTTGGAAGTGGCATCCACCTCGACCCTAGGGCCACATCTTGGTAAGACTTTTTCACTGCCTGGACGTGGGAGAGAAAAAAAAATTAAAACAACTAGATTGGTGGGCCCTTATTCTTGATCTTGAAGCTTACCTATCACTAAGGGTGAGTATGTGTAGGTATGGTCAGGTATTTGTTAATACCTATATTTGATTTGAATGGTAAAAGGTATAGAATTTTAATATCCAATACTTATTTGGTTATTGAAAATTTATACCTGTTACTTAATTTGTTGGGTATAAGTATATTTATAAGTATATTTATATATTTGTTAAATTTTATACTAAAAGCATATAATTAAGTTAATATATAACTATAAGTTCATACATATAATACAAGTTTATATATAAAACAAAATACGTGAGTATATACACTTACATATACATAAATTTATATATATAATAACAAAAGAAATACAAACAAAAATTTAGATAATTTTCCTTTAGTTGAATCTTCACTGGCAAAAGAAAAGAAAAAAATATATAAACATTTTAATTTTATAACATTATATTATAAATTAATCATATACTTACTTAATATTAGTAGGTATGCATTTTTTATACTTGATATTTAACTTTCAACTTTCTTTTCACAGGTACAAATAAAATACCTACTCAAACAAGTCAAATACTCACAGATATTATATATACTGGTACTGCTCAGCCCTACCCATCACTGTCTTATTTTTCATTTTCATTCATGCATCTCCCTCTACTCTAATCCAAACTAAGCGAATGATAGACCATCGAAAAGAATGTTCGCAGATTAGATTGTACTACTGAGACTGTAAATTAGTTAAATTATCCGTTAGGTTCTTAACTCGAATCTGATTTAAGTTTGTCTTCAATTCCATTTATCTCAACTCAATTTAATTTCGTATTAAAAAATAATCATATATTAATAAAAAATATTTAATAGTTATATTTTTAAAAAAATTAAGTAAAAAATACTTAAAAAGTACATAATTTTAATTAATTTCAAAGAAAAAGACTAAAACATCTTAGTTTTTAAATATAAATGAGACTTTTTTAATATTTGCTTGTAAGAACATTGATTGGTATAAATTTTGATTTAACGTATTATACAATATATTTAATAAAAAATTATTATTTTTTGATATAAAATTAAAAATAGATAAATTAAAAGATACAACTATACATATAAGATAAATGAACTAACTAAATCAAACTATATTTATATTATATTTTAATAAATTATCAAACAAGGGTTAGAAAGCTATTAAACCGAGTATATACTAATTATTTTTTTATAATATTTTATTAAAATAGTATAGTTTTAAATGTTTTTCTACATAGTTTTTCTTTAATTAATTTAAGTTGATAAATACTAATATCATATCTTAAATATCTAAAATTTTAATTTTATTTTACTTTTAATTTTAAACTACATTTAAAGTCACGTCTCAGATTATATTTTTTATTTATAGATTTTTAAAAATTATAAATTTTTATAATAATAATTAATTATAAATATATTTTTTAAAGTATTCTTTTTTATAATTAAATTATTTTAAATATATTAAAAAAAATCTAAACAGTAAGAGCATAACTTGAATTGTACGTATCGTTTTGACGTTTTTGATAAAATTATGCTTTTCTGTATATAAAAAAAACTATTACAATTATGATATTAGATAGATTAACATGGTATCTTGAAACTAAAATTGATAAAATAGCTTGACATGTTGTTTAATACATTGTGTAATGTATTTATTAAAAAATTATTACTATTTTACATTAAATTAAAAGTCAATAAGTTTAAAAATATAACTATACATATAATATATAGAAATTGATTTAATTGGTTGTACTTTATATTATATTTTAACAAATGAACTAAAAGAATGTTGAAAAGTATGTTGAACTGGAAAATATATCAATTATTTTCTTAAAGTTAAAATATTTTAATTAACTAAACTTTTAACTAAATTAATGGGATTAATTTAATGATTGATCTATTAACTATTTATCTAATTTCATTTTAGTCTATAAAGTTTGTTTTTTTTTTTAAATAGTCTATAAATTTTGTAAAATATTTCAAAATAATATATTGAACAAAATTTCTATTAGTTTTAACAAAAAATAATATAAAAGTTAAATTAAAATTAAAACAAAGTAATACCAACCAACAAAATAGTTCACGACAAATTGTGCAAGCTATTAATATATGTTAATAATTACGATTTTTGCTACAAAGGAGAATTATCGAAGGAAAAACTGGAATAACATATGATAAAGATTACAGTTCCTCAGACAATAAAAGTGAACTTATCATTCTTACAAAATTAGTTTTATTTCAAAATTAATTTCAAGCAATAAAAATTCACAAAAGATACAATTAAAGATTAATTCAATCAAATAAAGTGAAACTGCTACTAGAAAATTAACATATTAGACTAAATAAAAATAAAAATAAAAGATAGTAGATGTATTTGAAAGTTTTTAAAGATAATAGACAAAATAGAAAAAAACACAAAAGTTACTAGATTATTTATTAAATTAAGCCAAATTAATTAAACAAAGAAATCAGTTTAGGCATCGAGTAATTTAGAATTGAACAAAATAGGTTTACTTAATTTTAATAAGAAACAAGGTAGTAAGAAAAATGTATAGAGAGTTTAAATTGTTATTTTTTAATTTTATGGTAATTTATTTAACTAATATTGATAAAAATTTAATATTCTAATTACTATATCTAAGAAAGATATTATAAGCATTATAAATATTTCTAATATACTTATAATGAATTTTGTAATTAAAACATTTTCACGTATGTTAGATTTAAATTAAGTATTCACTAAATAAGAAAGAAAATTCAGGTAGATCTATAAAGGAATTTTCCCATTATAATTTCCTCTACAGTTTTGGATGCTGGAAGCCAAGAACGCTACGAGGTCAGATGTAGGTATGGCTGTGGGAGAGTAACACGCAAGAAAAATCCTCCTATTCGTATCCAATCAACGTTTAATGTTTCTTCGATTTGTTTGAGGAAGATGGGACATGGCCGGCCTTTGCATCCTCATTTCTGATTGAACAATATAAGAATGATAGGAATCTTTCTGCATCACCATTTAGGAATATACTATCTTTTGATCTTCAGGATTCTGTCCACATATATTGAATGTATCTTGGGAGAAAACAACAATTAAAAACTGTTGCCTCCGTCAGATTTTTTGGAGAATATACTAGTCTATTCACTGTTATATATAGAGTTCTTGATTCTGTCCGCTCGCTCGTCCATAGGAAGAAGGATGAAGCACCGGAAGAGGGATCGAGCAGAGGTTGCAAGGAGCCCGCCTCAATGGGAACGCAAGTTTATGTCGTATGAGGAGTTGAAGAAGCAATTGAAGTTGATAGATTCAGGTTTGAATGGAGACTTGGAGGATAATGAAGGGATTTTTATGTTACCAAATATTGGCTTCACACTTCTCTTACACAGGGAACTTGTTAAGGTTAACACTTTTTACATGGACAAAGATGAAGATCATATCATCAGGCTTAAGGTAACTAATCTGACATTTTTCATCAAAGGTTTGGTTTTTGCCATGGTATGCTGTATGCGTCTGGGTGGGTAAATAATCTGACATTTTTTATTAAAGGTTTGGTTTTTGTTATAATTTATCATTAATATGAATAGTGACTAGCAACCTACTAACCCAATATTCATCAATTCTCTTTCTCTCCCTCCCTCTGCCCAACAAACAACATGTACATCTAGGCAAAGTTAAAAGATATTAAGCAATCAGTATTAGATAGACATAATTTATACAAATTTGAAAGTTAATAGATGTCTTTGGAAGAAAATAAAAATTTTAGACTAAAATAAAAAATGGTCAACAGTTAGTAGATGACTTGTTAAATTAAGACTTGCACAAACACATAAAAGGGAATCTAAAACACAGGACATAAACCCACTCTGTTCATATACTAGTTTTTCAATAAAGTGTTCCCCAAAACATGAGCTTTTCCTACACCAATGGCTCCGGCTACCACACCAAATATGTATACATCATACAACAACATTCATATGGAAGAACCTGGAACCACCAATATTCAATTGACTCAGAGTTGTTGAGTTGGGCAGCTTTTGAGAACTGAACTACTTTATATATCACATGAGTCTGTGCGGCCAAAAATTGTGTAACGGTTGTTTGCAACATTGTCATATATAAAATCCCTTATAAAACTGCAAATCATCCATAAAGTACATGTTAGAGGAACTTCTCTGACTGCTTCATTAGCTAAGGGAGTAACAGAATGGATAACTTACAGGGGTACAAATTGTAGAAAAAATGCTAGCTGAGGGTAAGGCAGCTCTAGGTACTGCATTATCTTCAATACAGCTTCTGACTTGATATAAGACCTGAAATTCACCATGAAAATCGTAGCTTTCTTCATTGCACAAATCATCTAAAGATATATCTCCTATATCAAAGTTCTAAATCACAAGCTCTAGTTTCTTGAATTTGGTATAAACACTTTTCGATGCTAATGAAATCCTACTTTCTCTTTGATTCTTGTATTTGGGATATGTTGGTCTTATTTTTCTCATTGTCTTCAAGGAAAGCAGTTTATTAATAAAAATGAAGCAAGCAAGAGAAAAAAAATAATTATTATCTACATTAAAGATAAAAGTCAAATATTACCTCTCCTTTTCAACAAGCACAACACTCGAAATATCATCAGGAGCTCTCCCTGACCTCCTGAGTAGATTCTTTCCCGCTTCACTTTGGAGTGCTTCATATCTAATTCTCCTGTCACAAGTTAAGAAAATAAAACAAAAACATGAAAAACTGTATCCTGGCGAAAAGCATAGAAATGCAGAAATCATTTTTGAAAGCACCTCAATTACTTCCGTTGTCTACATGATCAGAATCAATTTTTGTGGTCTTAAGAGTCCCCCAACTGCAGATATTCTATATATTGTCACCATCCGTAACAAATTACAGATGAGTTTAAGACGGATGAATTCAAAGAATCCTCTTTATTACCAAGTTATTAGACACCGGGCAGTCATATATAACTCAAAACTGGCCATAAATTATTCTCAATCCAAGACTTTTCAATCCACAAAACAGTGACTCCCTCAACTCAACGCCTTATTCCATTTTACAAGAGGGATTCACTAGATATGCTTAAATACTAAAGAAGAAAAACAGTTGGAATCATAAAAATGGTGAAATGGGATTCATGGACTGACCTATTCTGATCAACATCACGCACAAATTTCACACCCCCAGTACACAAGTTGCAGACGCCTGTCCAGACAAAATTCTAAGTGTGTCTGAATTTTGCCAAAAATAGCGACCAAACTAAAGATTCTCAAATTGGTCGCTTGAAATAGCTAAAACAGAATAAAGAAGGAAATGGAATGCTAAGAGTTCCGTACCATCAAAGAGCATGATGGGTCTAGAGTCTAGCTCGAAGAAGCTGGAAGTCGCCTCAACCCAGTTCACAGGATCGCGTCGAGGAGGGGATAAGGTAGCAGACGTGGTGATTCTCTTGCTAACGTTCTGAGGGGATGATAAGCTTAGCAGAGAGCAGCCACCGTAAAACTGAAGCGCCATGATACCAACAGTCTTGGCTAGAAATTCCAGTTAGAGAGAAATAAAATGGAAAATGATACGAACCACAAATGTAGACCCGAAAATTACAATGCTGACTCCCTTCATCGTACATATACCCGGAACAGGATGGGATTGATGTGTGGTTGTAATTTGGTAATTTACAATGCTGACTCTTACCGGATCAAAATATGCCTGGCGAATGCTAGGCGAAAAGAGTATTGGAACCTTCTACTTTTGGGGCTTATTGAAATGAACCCCTACTTTTTTAAATTTATCAACTTACATGATTTCATGTTAAAATAAATTGCTTTACATACTTTTTAATTGAAATAAATTAACTCAAATTTGATAAATAAAGTCATGACAAGTCAAAATTCCGTGAAACCTATTATATAGACCTTAAGGATTTGATGATTTGGCATACAGTCTATTTTATGACATTGAAAATTTTTTTAGGTGAAAATTGATAACATGAAATATTTTATGTTGTTAGTAATTTTCTTTGCAATGTCATTGAATAATGTCTAGATCAGCAGAAAAAAATTTCATATCACATAAACAAATCACATATGCCATATCATCAAGACCTTAACATCTAAGCAATGCGTTTTACAAAATTGTAATATGTTATGACTTCTTTTATTAAGTTTAGGTGGATTTATTTTAATAAAAAACGCATAAGGGGTATTTTATTTTAATATTAAAATACATGAGTTAATAAATTTTTCAGAAAATAAAAAAATTATTTGATTAAACTCGAAAAAGTATAAGGGCTACGCCCTTTTTAGTTTTTCCCCTGTTCAGATATCTAAAAGATAAAAAATCAAGGGTCAATTGTTGTAAGCCAAAAAAATGAAAAAAAAAAAATTAAGGGCCAATTGTTTGAGAGTGTATTGATTTCAGCGTGCCACGTAGAGTTTTAGATACCATTAAACTACGACTGTCGTTATTATCACACGTGGTTAAGATCATATATATTATTAGTTTATAATTTTTTAAAATAAATAATTATAATACTTAAAAATTTTATATAAAAATTAATTTTAATTTATTAAATAATAAATATTAATTATTTTATCTATTATCAATTGATTTCAACAATCAAGTTAACATTATGGTAAAAAATTAATGATTCTTAAGTTACCTTAACAGACTTAAGATGGCCATACTCATACCAACCACGTCCTTTGAAAGTTAAACCACTCAGAATCAAGCAACTGTCGACGAGTCAAATATATGCGGTTAAATTTACTTACAGCAGGTCCCTTAACTTATGATTTGGATCTGTTTCAGTCCCTCAAAAACAATTTTTTTTTGGTTTCAAACTTATTTTTCCATCTCCTTTTCTGTTCCTCCCTTAATGGTTGTCCTATGTTGCATTTTTTATTTTTTACATGTAACGTAGCACGTTAAGTCGTATAATAATTTAAATTTCTTTACGCCAATATCATTTGTAATTTTTACATAGCTTAACCCACTACAAACTATGACTTCTGCTTGGATCCCTCTCTCTCTGCTTTACCGGAAGCCAGAGGGAAGTGAAAAAGTGGTTTGGGTAATTTAGAAGTGAAGCGTGCATCTAGGATTCTAGTAGATAATACTGGTACTGTTTTGGTGGTGAGGAAGGGGAGTAGCAGCCCCTCCCCAGGCTAAACTAGATACAGTAGGGCCTTTTGTGGGTTGGGAACTATGAAAGGCCTAAATACTTGCTCTCCCTTAATGCTAGCATATAACAGTTGGGATTTACCTAGTAGTTTAGGATGCACATAGGAGTAGTCTTCCTACATATGTAGTGGTATATGCCCCTATAACAATTATTTTACAATCTCTAGTTACTGTTGTTCTACATTTAATTTTCCGAATTCATTATGGACATATTTCCTTTATAACTAGTTTTATAAGAATTGTTTCTTCAATAGCCACTACATAGGGTTTTCCATATGTACTCTTGGTTTTACCATTAATAATATTCTCAATGTTTCAATATATATATATAGGGAAAATATACATTAATCCTGACTAAAAAAAAAATTGAATCCTAACTTTAAATGATATCATTTCATTTAATTAAAATTTAATTTAAAATCTAAAAATCTAACTTATTAAATATTAATATCTACATTTAAAAACTAATTATATTAAAATATATAATCCGTTTCTAAATTTAGATATTAATATTTAATATGGTTAATTTTTAAATTTAATTAAGTTGAGCTTTTAGATTCTAAATACAAGTTGAAATTTTTTTTTTTTTTTAAGACTGTTATACATTGTTTTCATATATACACATATATATATTTGAGATTACAAGAAATTTGGATCCTATACTGTTTATAAAATTATGACCTAACATATGATTTTTATTTTTATTACTACTTTTCAATATGTTGTACACATATTTTTTCATGGAAAAAAGTATTGTACACATTAATATTGTACATCCTGCAATAGTTTATGCTTTGTGTGTAGGAAGCCCGGGTCTTCAGTTCATACTGGCCTTAAAGGCATAAATTTCATTTTGCCCTTTTTCCTATTAATAGCAATAGAAATGGTTTTTTCATGCCCGGGAGAGATTAAAGTAGCTAGTTTGGACTGAAACACATTTTGTTTTGTATCAGAAAAAAAAAATATATATATATATATATATATATATATATGCTTTTAATTTGCTATATCATCGAAGGGAAAAAATAACTAGTTCAATTTGATCTCTCACCATGAAGTTACTTTTGGGTACTCCCTTTGTGCAAACCCTGTAACAAGTCATGATTTTTCAAAATCCAAAGGAAAAACCTGACATTTGGCGTAGAAATTTGCTTATACTCATCAGGAGGAAGAAGGTATTTACTGTATGTATTCAACATTGATTTTTCTTGTCTGATTTTGAGCAACCGCTGCGAATGATTCTCGCGACAGAACAATGGTAGAGGGGCATGGTGTTGTGGGGCAAAAATCCACCACCTTCACTTCGATAGTTTTGTGTCTGCAAGGTTTATTTGGTCCACTTAGGCATCTGACTCTATATCTCCGTCCACAAGCAGCTCCATTGTCCCACAATCCGTCACTCACAGCAGCAAACAGATTCCCAGGTGGGAACTGATCTTCTCTGAATCCACCACATTTAGTAGCTGCAGAGCTTGAAAGGAATTTTTATCTTACCCGTAGGTTTTGAACTGTTCTTCAAAGCAGGGGAGGAGCCAAAAAAATCAACTGAGGGGTGCTAAATTAATTGACTTAGTTCCTCTAATATTTTCTATAACACTAGTTAATTTTCTTATGAAAAAATTTCAATTTTAATTGTTCCTTTCCATTGATACGTATGTTATTAATCATAATAAAAATAAGAAATAAATACAATTTGTTAAAACATTAATATGCATTTATTTTAAATATATTTGATTTACCACATGGAAACGGATTGCTTTTATATCTAGAAGAATTATTCTTGGCTGTAAAGCCTATGAAAATACGAAAATGATAACAAACACAATAATGTAGCTCTAAAAATTTTTAATAAATGTACGCTAGGAGACATCTATTATGTGGTTAAGTGGTTAAGAGGTTAAGAGTTTGAGTTTTTATATTGAAGATTTCAAATTCAAATTTTATGATAAATAAAAAATAATTTAAAAAGGGAGATATCCTTGATCTATAGTATAACCCATTATCTAAAATACATAAAAAATTTAGTAAATATTGAATCCTTTATTAAAATAAAAGAAACATGCCTCACTTTGATAATACTTGAATAATAACTCAACTAATTCCAACAATTTTAAAAGGTTATTCTCCCTGTCCCAAAGTGTATGTTTGTAATTTGCTTATTTAATTATTTTCCCATTAAATTAAGTTAAAAACAATTGATATTTTGTGACGAATTGACTAAACAATAGGAAAGAAGGAATGTGCAATTTACGTAACTAGAAATAGAAATTATTAACTAAATAAAAACTTAACCTTCTTATAAAAAAACTAATATGATACTTGAATCATGCCAAAAGAAATCAGAATGTTCAATTCAAGAAAATTCCTTAAGTATAAAACACATTTAGTTTTAATTTAATCAAATCACTTTTAAAAACTACTGACGAAAATTTAAAAGTAAAATTTAAAAGCAATTCGAAAACATTGCACTATAATTGGGTGAGAAAATCTTTGAGTTTTGGTTTAAGAACCTTCATTCGGAATGAAGTTATTTCATATACAAAAAATTCATTTTTATTTAGGACCATGATTGGTGCACATCTCGATCCAACACCCGGGTGTGCAACCCCCACATAAAAAAAAAAAAATGGATTAGGTGATGGACATTTTTTTTTATATGATGTGTGCACACCCGGGTGTTGGATCCGGGTGTGCACACACCATTTTCCTTTTATTTATGATGTAATTTTTATATTTTACAAAACTTTTAAGTAGTTCCTAATGTTTTCTCTGTATTTTGAAATAGTGTTTGAAATAGTTTTTGTAATAAGAATATTATCAATCGCAATAGTATTGAGGGGATACAAAGAAATTTAGAAATAAGATCTGCTAAATGATAATATAATGTAATTGAAATGACCTAAATGGGTAATCTCTTTCTAATAGAAATAAGAAATTATAATTAAGTTCGGGTGGTAAATATGCATGTAGGGTAGTTAAAGAATAAGAGAGTGTTACTTCCTATTATGTAAAAAAA